CATTTAGTACGATTATTATATCAATGGATGCATTTTTAGTAAATGTGTATTGTCACAATCCTGGGCACAAAGTGCCTGATCTCAAAGTGAAGATAATAAAACGAGAGAGGAAGGAGTGGGTGGACCAGGATTAATTCCTTTCATTTCTTAGTAAATTAAAACCTGCAGCTGGTGGATTGTGAACACACATTCCTGATGTAATATGTGAGGACAAATGCACTGCTCTGGAACGAAACCCAGTGCTAACTGGGGATTTCATTTATTCAGTCAAGCACATCTTACTCACGTCCAGATTTATTTTCTTACAGTGAACACACACCAGATGAAACTACTAAAATGTTACTTTTTGTAAGTTTATCATACATGAGTTGCAGTAGTTTGCTTGTTAAACCACAACCACTATTTTAATGATACACTAAAGCTAACACTATTAGTTTTTCCAGAAAAATCTGCATTATATGCATGTTGGTTGTGGATTTTGTTTCTCAAACTGGCTTAGTCCAGTAAATAAGTGCATTAAAGACTTAAAGCAACAATAACCAAATAAAAACTTGATAGGTTCTTTGAAATCTATTTAACTATTCATTCCATTCCATCTAGACTCACCAAGAACTACATGTTATGATATTAAGTTGAAGTTGAAACATGATGTTTTGCATTAAATTTAAGATATGCAAATTTATTACGTAGAGAAAATGTTATATACCCTATAATATTCTTTCACCTAATTAGTATTTAATTATATGAATTTGTTTTATATTATAAAAGATCTCTTGATTTTGTCTTTTGATATTGACAAAATTATTTGGATATTCTTATGTTTTCAAGTCTGTATCTGCCTCCCCTGCCTTATTTCTTATGTTTTGCCACAGTTAACCCATTGTGCTTCTTTGTAACCAAACAGTTTGTGGGGGGAATGGGCTTATTGAATGTCTAAAAAATAAGTTTAAAGTGTTTGTTACCCCAAGTTTTGTACATTTGTAAACTCTAATTACATATGTGAATGTTATTACTCTCAGTGAATTGTTATTGTTTGCAAAAATGCACTGGGCAGTAACATTTTGTGATAAATCCTGTGAGATATGTCAAAAA